ATGCCCAGAGGGCAAACTGTTGAAAAACCAAGATTTGGATAAAATCACTCTATTTACAGCAGCAAAAATCCACCCCCCTTTGTCTTTCCCCGCCTTTTGGGATTTTTCAACAAAAAAGAAAAATGGAAAAAACCCAAAAAAGAAGAAGAAGAAGAAGAAAAGAGAGAGAAAAAAAGAGAAAATTTTCTTCTCCTTTAAATATCATAATTTATTATATAATAACTTTCTTATTATAGCCACGGAGGAGTGAGCGTTTAAGGCTAAAATCGCGGTTTTTCAACAGTTTGCTCTCTGGTGCTCCGTAAGCGCGCTAAAAGCTCTATGGGTGGTGGCGGTTTAGCCCCCAACAGAGGCGCAAAAGCAACGAGCATGTCAAGGCTTCTAGATTCCGGGGCAGACGTACGTGCCGACCGACGTCATCGCAATGCAAATTATATTGATGCCGGGTTCTCGATCGTTTCAAGACCTATTGCCAGCCACGATCAAGTATCCCTCCCGTGCAAACCTTTTACTCTTGTACTGTTACTGATGCTAGGGTAGGTAGTGTCTTTGCCATGTTTACGCGCTCAAGCAACTGCTGTGGGTGTTTAACCCGTGTAGAAAAGACTGGGAAACAGGGGGAAATTCCCGGAAAAAGATACATCAATTGGAGGAAATTAACATGATTACTATCAATAAACTCTATTGGCCAACGATCTCCTAATCCTCATGCAACATGTCACCATACATGTTGTCAAATCGGTCCATCTCATCTCTCAGCTTCTCCCATTCCTCGAGGCTCTTCTTGGCTGCCGTCTTGTCCCTTTCGTAAGCCTCGCGACTGGCCTCAACCTCGGACTCTACCCTCTCGTACTCATCCAGGAGCTCACGACTCAGCAGCTCGTCAACCTTGGCGTCCAAGGCAGGAATGACGCCTGGTTCGGCAGCTCCCAGCGTAAAACGCAAGTTTTGCTGGAACCAAGGCTTGTCCAGCCAGACGTGAATCTTGCCGTCCCGATTGATATTCTCCTGTCTCTTGTCAGTGTCTGGTTTTGCTGGCTTACCTGGAGGATGGACATTTAATCCTCTTTCACGGAGAAAAGAGCCGGCAAGGACGTGAACAAGGATTTCCGAGAAACCCACTTGCTCCGACGTCCACACTCGGACAATGGGCACCGCCACCAGCTTTGGTCGGTGGCCCATGTACCGAATAGTCGAGACAAGCAAACCCCAGGCTTTGGACGACTTGCTGAGATTAGTTATGTCCGGGTTGTGGTCCTTGATGCGCTGATCAAGCTTGTCGGAGCAGCCAATCTGCAGGGGCACCGACTTTTGCTGAATGTCTGGGTCGTGCACCTGACGACAGCGTCGAGTCAACATTGAGCATAGGTCATTAATATTGACCTGTTGGTCTCTACCACTGGATGCAAACCGTGGCGCCCGGTAGTCGGCGATCCGCGTACCATCGGCCACGGTTGTGTGAGTGGTGACTGAGCAAGCATCATCTATTCCCACGTCGAGATGCCACTCCGTCTCTTGGGACACGTAGGTATTGTCAATCTCCATGGCCTTGGTCATGAAGTCTACCTCTTCATCTTCAAGTGGCTGGTTGTTGTACGAGTTTTGATCGTCCACCAGCCTCTGGAACAAGACACAAGCCTTGGCATAGTCCTTGAGATGGCCAATGACTTGAATGAGCTCCCTCTTTGTTAGCCAGTTGCCCTGGCGTCCGTCGATGCACATTGCCAGGGCATATGTACCAGCACCCTTTTCACCGTATACGTGCTTCCAATTCTCGGATTCCGAGTGCCAAAGGTCCGAGGCAAGTCGACCCATGATCAACGAGCGGAGGACTGGTCGACTAATGGCATGGAACACTGCCAAGAACTCCTTTTCATGCTTTTGGGGCAACATCAGAGCTTCTCTGAGCGGGCCCCTGTCCACTCGTAACAACAGCCCCTCGACCATTTCCTTGAATGTCTTGAACAGACTACCGTACGTTGCGCCATGGTCGATTTCTTCCACCATGCGGCGACTGAGGGTAGGCAGGACAGGCATGGCTGCCGAAAGAATTGGTTTGATATTTACATCCATGCTGACGATTTCAGTTTGATTTGAGAAATTCTTTCAATGATTTGTAGAGAGAAAAATGTGGGAGAATTTCAAGGTGTGTCGGTGGGCGTGCCCTGTCCGTGTATCGCACCTTCCCATGTAAAAGTGCTGGCACCACCAGTGGAACTTTTGGGACTCCCCGAGTTTTGAACCTCGTAAAGAAAGATTATGCGGAGAAAATTATATGCAGAGACGATTATATTACCTTGAAATTTTACGAGATTACCTACAATGTCCATGGATACAGCGTTGGCACTGGTGCAGTCGGCCAATGGGCTGATGAGTAAAGTCGAATTACTCAAGGGGCGCATGGGGCTCCTGTCTGGTATGGTTGATGCTGCTTTGAAGAATCAGCCACAGCCAGACGGCCAATACCTCTTGGCTGGAGTGGAGCGTCTGACAAGAGTCATTGATGATGACGTCGGCAAGTTCAGAGGTATTGTCGACGAATACGAGAGTGAGCTCGGCTCATTCCGTCAGTATTTTGCCTCTGAAAAGGTGAACCTGGAAGCATCAATGGCGGAGTTACACGACAAAGGAGAGAGGCTGGTCAAGGAGAGGGACCAACTTGAAGCCCAAAAGCAGCAGTTTGCTGTCGACAAGGATCAAGTTGAACGTGAGCAACAGCAGATTTTGGACCACAAGGCTCAAGTCGACAGTGACATGGAGACTATTCGTACCTCTCAAGCGACAATCGAAGAAGAGAGGCAGCAGAATACAGTCGCAAGAGATGAGATCAAGCGTCAAGAGGAGGAATTCTCTCACAAAAAGGACCAAGCCGAACTTGAGAGGCAACAGCATGCCACGGCCATGTCCAAGGAAAAGGAAGAGATTCAAGCTGAGCGGGCAAAGGTCGTCCATGATCAGCAGACCCTAGCCGCGGAACGACGAGAGCTCACCACAAGAGAGGAGGCTGTCAGTAATGAGCGCGCCGCACTGGCATGTTGGCAGGACTCTATCAATAGAGAAAGACTACGGGATGCCGAGTTCAAGGGTGAACTCGACACCATGCAGACATTGGTGGCAGCGGAGCGAGACGAGGTGGCAGCCGCACAAGAAGCAGCGGCTGTTGAGCGTCGGAAGATTCAAGAGAGTTTGGCAGTCGTCGCTCGCGGAGAAGAAAAGATTGCGAGCGACAATGCAAACATTGCCCGTCAACAGGCAGAGATTGACGAGCAGAATCGCTTGGTATCAGAAGCCAAGGTACGCCAAGATGAGCGCGATTCGCGTTTCAAGACGACTTTGGAGGGTGTGAATCAAATCATCCTCGACAATGCCAATCGTGAAAAGGCAAAGCACGAGGATGAGATCCAAAGTCTTCGAGACAGAATCGCGACCCTAGACCAGGAAAAGCTGACTGAGAGCATGGCTCGAGTCAGACTTGAGGAGCGTCTGCAACCGATTCAGGCGACGGTGGATGAACTCCGGCAGCAGCTCGGGTTAGCCAAGCTATCAGAGCAAGGTGCTATAGCAAGGAATAACCTGAGCTCTGACAAGTTGCTGGAATTTACAAAACAGTTTCTGGAGCACGAAAGGAACCGCATGTCTCAAGCCGGTGCGTCTCGGAGCCAAGAGTCGGCTCCGGGTGCATCTCAGAGCCAGTTGTCGGCTCCGGGTGCTTCTCGGGGCCAAGAGTCGGCTTCCAGTGCGTCTCGGAGCCAGGTATCTCAAGCAGCCGGTGCGTCTCGGAGCCAGGAGTCGGCTCCTGAAGCCGTGCCACAGAAAGTACAGACCCCACAACCCATGGCCAAGCGGGATCGCGAAATGTCGCCACCCCAAGCCCAAGCCGTCAAGAAACCAATGAGTGAGGCAGACAAGGACAAGCGGCAATGGTTGCGTATGGTCCAAGAGGTTTGCGACTTTTTGAACACTTACACAGCCATAAAGTCGGCAGATTCCCGGCCCATACCGGTGGGCGCGGCAATGCTTCTACTTTGTATTAGTGCGGCGTCAAGTGAACAGACGCGTTTCTTTATGACGGACCTTGGGCTACACGCTCGTACTAACGAGTGGGTTTGCCTAATGGGCATGATGGAACGTGGGCGCCTTTGGCGCCTGGCTTGGATCGAGGGTGACAACAAGTCTTGCCCTCAACACAAGCACGAAGAGTGTTTCCAGGTTCGAAGATCAGGTGATCACGAGCTTGAATATCGACTCGTGGGGAAGCCCCCGTCTCCAGACGGACCCAGTGCAATGGATTTGTTCAGTCGGTTGATGGATGAAGAAGAAGAAGAAGATCAGTCCGAGGGACAGGATAGTGAATCGGACGAGTAGATTTGCCAATAGAATTAATAAGAGAGAACTTTTCTCTAAAGATGAAAGACTTTTCGATTCTTTTATTAGATTTCTTTCCAAAACCTTTCTCTATTGCATTTTTTCTTTTGATATTTCTATTATTCTTTAATGTTTCTTTTCTATTACTATTTTTCTTGATATTTCTTTTCTATTACCTTGATATGTCTTTTCTTTTATTTTTCTTTCGATATTTCTTTTCTATTACCATTTTTTCCTTCGTATTCACTTGTAAAATCTTCTTTCGTGTTGCTATGAATGCGGCGCCGGTCGACTTTGGCGTTCAAGGGGTCTTGAGGTATCTGATTCATTGACAGGCCCTGAACTCCTGTTGGGCACTGTATGGGTCATGAGAGGTGAGTGGTAGAAGCATGCATTCCTATCTATGGATTGGCATACGGCCAATCCTTTTATAGCAACACCAAGGCGTTGCGATGCTTAGTTATATGCTTAGTCATAGTGTTGGGCTACGCCCAACAACTCCTCTTCCGACTCGAATGTCCTCACGATAATCTCGTGCTCTAGGGGCCGGCGGATCAAGTCCCTTGAATGGAGCAGGACAACCTCGAGCCACTGCTTTGTCTTTTTGACCTCCAGGCCGATTCTTGCATTCTGAGCTTCTCACCACGGATATTGCTGAAGCCGTTGAGTGATTCGTGGCAGCGTTGGCCGTTTGGGAGTGTTTAGATGAACGAGGTTATAGTACGTAAAGTGATGAATTGGGTGAGTATCTGTATCTACGGGAAGAAAGGTAGATGTAGCATGAAGCCCCTTTCGAGTTGTGTCTTTTTCTTGTTTTCAAGTCCCAGACTTTGTTGGATCCGGCGGCCACGCATATAATGGTACTCATGTAGCAGAGGGCCAACTGGAATTCCACCGTCTCAATTTCCTGGTTGTCGAGCTCAATCTCTGCTACGTGCTGATTCGTAAGCCGCGGGAGCCTTATTATGGTGTCTAATGCATCCGCAATATAGACTATTTGCTTCGCGGTCGCCATCTGAATCACAAGCCAGGCCTCCTTTTCAAGATTCGTCGACGAATGAATCTCACCAGTCTGCAAAATCTTGAGCAATACTCCAAGAGCCACCCAAACATGGCCTTTGACTGCCTGCCGAGTCCAACATCCGCACACTGGTTCTGGATGTCGCCAAGTGAAGGGAGCCGCATATTTGGCTCGTTATAATCGCTGTGAGAATAGGCGTTTGTCTGCATCACCGTCTGCGACATCACTCTTGTTGCCCTGAAAGTTGGAATCCGGGCCGTCATCAGTGATTGACGCCTCATCTTCGTATACATCAGGATCAGTGGTATCACTTTAGTCCTGGATTGGCTGCGTTTTGCGCTTTTCGTGCCTTGGCTGCATGGTTTACTGGCCCCAGATTGCGCCCGTCTTAGGGTAGTGGTTTTGAGCTGAGAACTTGGTCTAGGAGGGAACTCTGGTGATTGGATAGCTCCTCTAACCTCGCGATTCAGGTTCGATAGGTTGAAGCTCTGCCTCGTCCTGATCAAACAAACTGGCGATCCGGCGCAGTCTCCTGAAATTGTCTGAGCCCAGCTGAGGTCTGGACTTAAGTAGAGTTTGCAGCACCCATGATTCCGACCAAGAAAGTTGCACCATGTGAACAACATTGGCTGGAATTGAAGAGAAGAATATTTGCCAGTTGTGCCAGAGGAAGAATCAAATAAGGAAGAGGGACTTGATAGTCGACAAGGGTCACCCTTGAACTCGGCATCCCATGACCTTTCTTTATTGATAGAGTCCTGCTGTCAGGCACGATTTGACAGTGAGGCTATAGCGGGAAACCAAGTGTAGTTCAGGGAAAGGTCGTTGCCGGAGCTGCTCTAGAGCACCGGCAGCGCTCTGGAGATTAAGAGTAGGATCACAGCAGATGATTTGGGAGGTAGAGATCAGTCTTGAATACATACAACCCCTATTGTCACCATCATCTGGATCATTCACTCTGTTGCTACAAAGCCCCCGACACCTGCCAGCAGGCCAGTGCGACACGCTGTCGAGGGCCGCGAGGTTGCCTGCAGCGGCCGCGGTGCACAAACGAGTCGCCCGTGTCCGGGTCAACGGCTGTCCAGGGGATCGGATTCCATGTAACCTCGGAATTCGGCGCGGTCGGTGGTGTAAGGCGCGAGTGTGGTCAACATGTGTTGCGTGTACTTGCCAGCTCCTCGGCATCGTCGTCTTTATACGATAGGCAAGGTCGGTAACGGGATTACCGGCGGAGGAGATGCTCGCCCGGACATTATAGTAAAAGTATTAGTGTGAGTATATAAAGCCGCGTGACAATTATCGAGAATGAGCTTAAACTTCAAAGCCAGTGAATGCAAAAGAATCAAGGTGCGTGGCTGCCATTATATCATTACTGACAGCTTCCTCTCTTGTGGTGATCACCGCTCCAAACTGGGGATGTATATTCACTGTTGAATTGTGGCCACTGCTGTTGATATTGAGGCCTAGCCTTTTACATTACGGCTCCACGTCCACTAAATATAAGCGTAATCGTTGACGCACTGAATCAATCGCCCATGGCCTGATTCCATCTTGACAGATGTTATTGTAGTTTAGAGTAACGGTACACTGAAAGTCAATGGTTGGGGTCAACAAGGGAGCCTCTCGATGATCGCATAGAACGAATGGTAAAGATGGCCAAGTATCCATTATTTCCCAGCAGCCATCCTTCGTGAAACCATTCCTTTTCTTTTCCGTGAGCCTTTCCGTGCTCACTATCCTGTCGTGAACCATCGATGATCGTTGATCAAGCGAACATCGTGTTCAGGTCTCCAATGCTAATGTCAGAATCGTTCTCATCGCCATCGACTTCGTCAGGGTCGTTGGAACGGGTTTCCTTGTCATCATCATTGGGACGGTTTCCCTTGCCATCATCGCCGTCCTTCTTGTCATCCTTGTCCTTGGGCTTGACATCCTCGATGCCCTTGAAGCGTGGAGCGGGGTAAACGTATTTGGTTCCCTGTTCACCGTCGACAGGCTTGTTCTGCTTCCGGAATTCCTGACACCCAAAACAGGGTTGCCCTTTGCCTTTGCGGCCTTGCGATTGCCCTTCTCGTGGGAGCCTACGGTTGCCGGTGTGCCCTGGTATGATTCGGCTGATGTTCTAGTCTTCTGAGCGGCCTCAGCGGCCTCAATGTCCTCAAGCGTTAGGTAGAGGGAGACATTGTCCTCTGAGGCTATAATGTCAATGGATCGCTTATTAAACGAGCCCAGCAGACATTGGCGGTGAATGACCATGTTCAATCTGTGCAGGGGTGAAACACCTTTCATGGGAAGGTCATCGGGGAGGAGCTGGTACTGATGGGCTGCAGCGGCGTCCTTTGCGAGATGTGCGCGGTAGAGGGCTCGCTGTTCCTTGGAACGGACGGGCTGTCCTGCCCGCGAGACTCTCCGTGAAATGTACGGTCTGGACGATATCTAGATGGCCAAGTACAGTCCACTGCTTGCAATATCTAGACATGATGAGCTGTACTTTGGCATGTGCAAATGCCGACTTTTCATCTCTTACAACAGGAGACATGTTGCAACCGCTGATTCCAAGGGCAAACGTCTGCTATAGGGTTGGTAGCGACAAGAGGCCGAGGAACTCCAAAGATGTTATTCAAAAAGTCGCCACGGTAGAATCCATGTTTTGATTTACCCGGCCAATGGGTTTGGAACATTCGAGACTTGGTCCTGCGTTGTTCATGCTGTTCTTGTAATCTAAAGATATGGAATGAAGCGTAATAGTCCTCGACAGATGCATCGGCAGACTTTAATCAAGCCATTGCTATTTATAGACATGGCAGATTCAACAGAAGATGCCATGTCCTTTGCAATCACAGGCACGTCTCGCGTAGCCATGGAACTATCGCGTCTTGGTGGTTGAGGAAAGCAACTTTGTCGGGATGCGGATGGTACCGAGCAATTTCAAAATCGACTCATATTCTCATCGCGACCTCGAATGGATTCAATTCTCAGCCGTCAGACACTGTGACTTTTAGCCACTCTTGAATTTTGATGAATGCCCGGTCCCTTGGACTGCTCTGCACGTCCAAGGAGTTTGTCGTCCAGAATTCTCAAGTCATTGCCACAAGTACACCATTTTGTCGCAGAGGCAAGTGAGTATGGACTCCATTTCATCGTTGCATAAACTGAGCAAAGCACAAAGGCACCTTGGATTGACGGATGTTGCGCATAATCATCTGGCTCGTGATATTGGGATGCCAAAGACTGAAAATTGCGTCGGATATGTTTAAACAGGACCGCTCATGAAATGTCATCTTGAAATACGCGACTATCGAGTCTGTCTCATTGTCCAGAGACTGGTGCTCTTGCCGGCTCCATGAGCAGCTTGAATGTATGCTGCGTGGTCGGTGCATGTTGGACTCTGATACATTAGCCTCGAGCTCTGACTCTGAGTCTCCTGGCCTGGATGACCGGCAACAGGCGGGATGTGAACCAGGCTCAACTGCAGGCTCGGTGGGCTCAATCAAAGGGAGAGCTTCTGTTTCTGGCCTGCAGGGTCATGCTGGAAGTTGATAGCCCAGTATGGTACCATGGTGAATGACAAGTTACCCATTTCAACGCGATACTGGCGTTGTGTATTATATCAGAATGATTCGGATACCAAATTGTAAGAACCGGAGGGCGAGTAAGAGTGATGGAATGGCAGCCGTAGGTGTATTCAAAACAAGCACGCTGCATCATAACAAGCACGCTACAACACTACTGCCAACCACTGCCACCGCCATCATCAAGAACGAGAACCATGGCTCAAGGAGATTCCTCGGTCGTCGAGGAGACGGCAATGTCTGATATAGAAAGCAAAAGCCTGCCCAATCGCAAGTAACTGGGCAGCTATAGTGAGTTCCTTTGCAGGGACGGCTAAGCATGGCCGTGATCCCACGCCAGCGGGTTCCCCGAATAGGCACTTGGTGAACCCCACGGTACACCCTGTGGTTCTGACACAAGTCATCTACCAAAGTCTTGGAAAATCGATGAGTATTCAAGGTCCAGAGTCCGGGGATTGTACCCATGTTGGTCTTTGTGCATGCCGGACTCCTTGATGTTTGCATCGGCGTGCAATAAATCTCTATCATGGTATTTAATGGCAATGCTCTGTGAATAAGAGGACATTTCACTCGTACGACATGGGCGAAGAATGTCAAGAAGGTTCAAGTCCCGCGGAATTCGTTTCGCATCCTGTTGGCTTCCAGTCTAGATGAGAATGCAGTGGAAAGGCAAGTACCAGGGCTGGAGCTCGTTTTATCAAGAGTCAATGACTCAATTTATTAGAGTGTTACGTGCCAAGATTGCACAAGAATCTCTACAAACAGTTACCCAACAATGACACAAGGATAAGTGATTGGGTGTAGAAAAGCCAACCTACCATTTCCTAGAATGACGCATAGTTGCCTGCGTGCAGACTCCATGACAGAGGCATCCGGTCTTGGACCACAATAGTTTGCCGACTCAAGCTCTGACTAGGTTACTCATTTTAGCTTTCAACGTCTTGATATACCGCTTCTGTTGATGGCTGACCAAGAATCGCCTGCTTGTACGCTCATGATCTTTTTTGAATGCTTGGATCCTCTTTTGATCATGTTGAATATCGGAATCAGTACCCCTATAAGAAAGCCTTTATCCTGGAAGCTTGGTCAGCCTCGTCTTGTCATCACATCCTCGGTTATATGCTAGACTACTGAAAGCACTTGGTCATTGACTTTTCATCTCAACACCTTACAATAAAGAGCTTTCTTGGATATCATGCGCTTTGAGGAAAGCTTTTTCTCATTACACCTTGTTCGGACCATACCCAAGACAACTCTCGGGTTATTCTGTCGTGACTCTAGCGACTCTGCTTGGGGTCATTATGCTCTGCTAAATGCTGCACAATGGCAAACACTTGATTAGGGTGACACCTAGCAGCGCCTGTGTATCAACCAGTAGAGTCCTCGTGGCATAATCAGCCTTGATGAGGTTATGATGAACCAGTTCAGCAGGATTTAGGGACACTAATTGACAAGAATCGAGGCGCTAGCTCTTGACTTTGGCAGTCTCCTGCTGCGCTTTTTCAATGTCACGATCAAATGTCGTAGAATCAGAGAGCAAGGCTCGGCCTCTGACCAAGGTCGCCTCCTGCTGCTGCAAGAGCTCCATGATGTTTCCGACCTTTGGTTCCGCATCCATGACCCGCTGCTGAACTGCAACTTTGCAGGCTTTTAAGCCCTTTGACTTGATGAGCAAGTCCATCAATGATGGGCAGGAGGATATGGCAGAGGCCGACAACTCACCTTTTCTGTATAGCCGTACTTGTGGTTCTATACATGAAGCTTCCATTGCATAGTTTCCAGGGTAACATGGAAAGCGACTGCATTTGCGCAAGACTGTCTTTACCGGTGCCGAGTGCCTGCTGGATGCTGTGCAACTATTGTTGCAGTATAGCTTGTAACCTCTTGGCGAATTCTACATCTCGAGTTCCAGTTCTCAATCATGGAGCTGAGGGATCTTGGAGCTTATTTAGTCATATTCACATTTCCCGAGGTTGATGAAAATGTCTTGGGCTTATATTGACGTTGTTGAGGCATCCTCTGAAAACGAACTTGCTCCAGTAATATGGATATGCACTCAATACCCAATGATGCCCGGTCAGAGCCTCGGAGTCAGTCCCATTGGCAATTAATCTTTGAGCTACAGCTTCAGAGAAACAGACTGGATGATTTGCTCCATACTGGGTGCGATTCGCACATCCTTCACATCTAGTAGGGAATCATGAATCTCTTGTCGAGACCCACTGAGTAAACAAGAGCAATGGATAAAATACAGCCCTGATCAAAGATCTAAGCAGCCTTGCCATGATTTCATATTCAATCGTAGGTTTAAATACTTGTTCTTTGGAGGCAGATGGGTATACAGACATTCGCCACTGGCCGTCAGAAGCTGGTATAGCCCTTTGGTTTTAAACATACTGTCAGTTGTCCGTGTTGGACTGCTTCAAGAGTAACCAAGGTGTCTGCAAAGGACATGATCCGTCACGGATGCTCCAGAGTCAACTCGCGAGCCCGTATTCAACTCGGCCAATTTACGCGCAGAATAATACTCCCATGTCTCTGCACAATTCAAACCGCACGCGGTACTGGTGCCGGCACATGATTTGCAATGTTACGGCTGGTTTCATGCCTTGTAATTGAGTTTTTGGCTCAAGAGCCTCGCATCATTCAGCCGCTACAGCATGGAAGGAAATGCCTGGGATAGAAACTGTTTACTTTTCAAGGACGAGCCGTATTCAAAAGTCAATATTTGCGGGCTTGGATCGTCAATATGTGATAGATTCAGCGTTTCTCATTCAAAGCGACTGAATCAATGGTTAGCACACGGGCGTGACTTGAGCAGAGGCGAGACTGCAAGATTATTTCAGAATCAATTGTTGCCTCGGAGGGATAGTTCATGCCCTACTGCGCAGTAGTAGTCTAACCCGCTGAAAGGTACTCACTGTTTGGCGACAGCTAGTGAATGGATTAGGGGATTAGAGCCCTGAATGCGGGGAACACGGGAAATTCCCCGACAAATGAGCCAGTAGCCCCACAACTCAATTATGTTAGCTCGAGCTGGTGCCAGGTAGATGCCCTGGAAAAGACACAATCCGCACATTCAACAAAATCCAATAAAGATCATCATACGACGCAATTCACAATGGACGAGCTTGAGAAGCAGAGACGCGAGCTGGAGGCGATTGCCGCCAAATTAGAGGAGGGACGCCTACTGCTCGATGCAGCTGTAAAGTCTGTGCAAGACGGCCAGGCCAGAAGTACAGACTTGCCCAAGTATCAAGAGGAGGCACGAAAATTGTGCCAAGAAAAGGCAAATCATACACAGGCCCTGTCAAGCCGCCTGGAAGCTTGGAAAAAGGAGCTACAGTATATCAAAGAAGGCACACAAGCTCTCCAAGAGGTTGCCGAGAATGATGGCAACTGGTTTCGGATCAGGTGGGAGGCCTACCAGATTCAAGAGGAAATATACCACAAAGCATTGCTTGTCACCACTTCTCGTACCACCTTGCCGGCTGAGCTGCCGGAATATATCAAGAGGCTCGTGCCCATGAATGTCAGGGAAGAGATGACGACGCCGCTCAAGAAAATGATTGAGAGACGGGACAAAACCATTGAAAGACTCGAGGCCGAGGCCAGAGATGCCGATAATCAGCATGAGAGAGCAATTGAAAGACTCGAGGCCGAGGCCGAAGATGTCGATAATCAGCATGAGAGAGCAATTGAAAGACTCAAAAGTCAACATGAGAAAGAAGTCGAGGACCTCGAAAGTCGACATGAGAAAGAAGTCGAGGACCTCAATACGCAGTTGAGGCATGCAGAGAGCCGGACCGTGGCTGCCAAGGCAGATCGCGAGTCTACTATCTCGCTTTACAATGCCGAGCAGACAATCATTCAAGAAAAGGGCCAGATCATCAAGTCCTTGAAGGAGAACATCAACACGTTGAAGGAGGAGATTGCATCTCAAAAGGCTACCATTGAAGACAGGGATCTGATTATTAAAACAAAGGACAAGTATATCAACACGTTGAAGGAAAAGATTGCAACTCAAAAGGCTACGATTAAAGACGGGGTTGTGACTCTTACAACAAAGGATACGTCTATCAACACGTTGAAGGAGGAGATTGCATCTCAAAAGGCCACCATTCAAGACAGGGATGTGACCATTACAACAAAGGACAAGTATATCAATTCCTTGAAGGAGAAGATTGCAACTCAAAAGGCTACGATTAAAGACGGGGACGTGACTATTACAACAAAGGATAAGTTTATCAACACGTTAAAGACAACCATTGACTCTAAAAAGGACGTCATTAGAGCCAAGAATGCAGAAATTCAGGAAAAGGTTGAATTGATCGACTCCTTGGAGAAAGAGGTCCAGTCCAGTCAGGGGGCCGTCAATGCCCACAAGAAGACGATCGGTTTCCTACGCGGCAGGATTTCATCGAGCAAGAGAGTGACCAAGCTCAAGGGCAGGACCATTGAGTCTTTGCGAAAGACTATCAAGTCCCGCAAATTGTTACTCGATGCGAGAAAGAAGAAAATCAGTCTTGTAGCAGCTAGACTGTCGAGTGTCAAGGCTTCGAGAGCTGCGACAATGACTAGCCTCGGCGATTTGCAAGGTCGATACGACGCCAGACAGGCCGAATTGGCCATTTTGCAGGGTTATAATACCAATTTGTTACGCAATATTGCTCGGTTGTCTGAAAGAAGAGAGAACCTGGAAGAAGTTTGGGTGTCTGCCAATGGCTTGCTGCAAGCCATGGAGAACCTGGGCCAGATCAGGACCGAGACTATCAAGTCGTTACGAGGTCAAGTGGAATCTAATCAGGCATTGATGGCTAACAAGGACAGGGCCATTGCGTCTTTGGAGACTGAAAAGACAACAGCCAACAACAGTATCGATGCATTGAATCATACCAGTGCTGAGAAGACCGAGACCATTACGTCGTTGACAGCTAATGTTGCATCTAGGGATCAAGACAAGAAACGCCTGGAGGAAGACATGAAGGCTCTTGAATCTAGTCATGCAAATGCTGTTGAGCAGTTGAAATCAGAGCAAGCACAAGCGATGCAGAAGCTCAGTGGCAAGGCGGAACAAGACTTGCTAGAAAAGGCACGGCAGGTTGAGGGGCTCAAGACCGAGCTTTCCCAGAAGGAGGCCGAACTTTCCGGGAAGCAAAGTGAACTTTCCGGTAAGCAAACTGAACTTTTCCGGAAGGAGACCGAACTTTCCCGGAAGCAGGCCGAACTTTCGGGAAAGCAGACGGAACTTTCGGGGACGCAGAGGGAACTTTCGGGGACGCAGGCCGAACTTTTCAGAAAGGAGGCCGAGCTCCAGTCAAGCAAGCAATCTCTTGACAAGGCAGACGAGACCGTCAACAGCCTGCGTCAAAAGGTTACGGACCTGACAGCTAATGCGCGCAAGGGCGCGGATCTGGCTCGAGTCAACTCTGGTCGCATCCAGGACCTCGAGGCGCAAAAGGTCATACTAACAGAGGGTTTAGCTGTATCTTTTGCTACCGAGTTCAAGTCAAGCGCTGACGTGGCATCATGGGTGCCATTCGTCAACAGCCTGGCTAAACACACTTGTGGGAATGCACAACCTTTGGCGGGCGAAAAACCTTGGGTTATTCTCCCCCCGTGGACCTCGGATGACCCGGTGGGTGAGAAGCCCGCCCCGAGCTCAGTGACGTCTCTCTGTGGGCAGCTCTTTTCGGGTCTTTTAAAGACTGAATTCAACAACTGCCACATTCATCTCCTTGGCATGTTGACCAAGTCTCTGGCAGAAGAGGCGTCCCCGCCAGTCAATCTGGTTATCCTGGTGCTTGAAAAATGCTTGGCCGAATCTGAGCAACGTCATGTTACCCAGCACACGTTTGACCACTTTTACCTGATTCCCCTTTGGCAAGTTGCCACGGTTTTGAGCGACAGGTGGCCGGACCATCCAACGCAGTCCTTGTGTGACAAGGTCCGTGATTTGGTGTCTAGCTGTTACTGTGCGCCAGTTTATGACGCCATCAAAAATGGTTGCGATGCAATGGCTTCACAACTTGTGGGACTGGAAGAACCAAGTCGCCAGAGCATGTTTTTGCCCACTCTTGGAATGGGTTTCATGGGGTTTGGCGGACAACTCCGCGAAGGAATTCTGGTTGTTTGCCCCCGTGATCGATCTCTCAGGCTTGTAACAAGCAGCCAGTGTGTATGGGAAGGCGATGTTTATCGCATGCGAGCTCCACAAGGGGAGCAGGATATTCTGCTGGAGCCCAAGACGAGCGCAGAATATTTCTGGATCTTTGCTAATACCGATCAAAAGTATGTATAGCTTGATAGATGATAGAATTACGTATTACTCTTGAGTTTGCAGGTACAGGGCCGTGAGCGTGGCGTTGTAAAGGCCATGTATAACCCACGAATAGTTGACCCTAAGTGAACCAGTCATTGATACAAGTTCAAGGGCAAAGAAGAACAAGTCTCCCATTAAAACTGCGACTTGGTTCACTCCAAGGTTCGTAGTTTTGCACGATTTCAGGAATTCAAGTGGGAACGCATCGTATCGGATGAACTTGACGTCTGCAAAACTACTCGTCAAACACCCCTCGAATGCTTCGACTATTGTCCACGGCATATCGGCCACTCCTACGATCAGCTCTAGAGCCTCGGATGTTTCTGGAATACTTCTATTGATGTGGGGGCGCTGGAGATGCCCACTAAAAGTGGCTGTGGAGGCTTAGCTTAGAGTGGCTCTATAAGTCCCTTCGGGACTTATAAGCCTTTGTTTTTCGTTGCGTTTAGCATACAGGATCATCATCCATCGTTTTCTCAATCAAGACTGTTTCCACATATTTTGAGATTTTATATGCTATTTGATCAAAAACCACATAAAGGCCACAGCCTTACGGCTGTCCGTCTTAGGTGGGGGTTGGTTTGGTTTGGTTTTTGTTCCCCATCTCACTATCGTCTCGCAATTGGCTTCCATCCTAATCACACAATGGGCTTCTCTCAATTTCGAACTCTGGAGGAAGAGTAATCGGGAACTGACTTGGACCACTTCTGAGATACATGCTGCAAAGACGAGACCACCTCATTGGCCAAGTCGCCAACTTTATTTGCCAAGACTGGGCTTGGTGACTCGGTGATGCGGGCGACAGTCTGTCCGCTTGACTCAATGCCGTCGGCTCACATTGTTTCGTCATGCGCCTCTATCACACCGACCTCCTCTTCACGAACACCGAGTCCAACAAGACGGACAAACTCAAGAGTGGCCCTCAATACCCGTTTGCCCACAAACTTGCACGATGGCACTTGAGCGTCCATCTGAATCGCACATTTCTAAGTGGCTTATTAATCTTCCAGCGCCAACAGCGCCAAAGGCAGCAGCAGGAGCAACAGACACAAACCGGATCGCAGGTCGAGGTCCAAGCCGAGACACAAGCTGAGACGCAGCCCGAGCTGCAGGCCGAGAATAAGAAAGCACCACCTTGATTAATACGTATATTAAGGGGATAAGCGAGTGGTCATCGAAAAGGGAATTCGGAAGCGATTTCGTATTTATTAAAATTTCCTTTAGTCTTGTCATGAGCATTCCATTCAGGACTTGGTGTCTTAGGTCACCCTCGCGACCACGTCGACTGGAGACCAAGGCAGAGATTCCGGCTCCTGCGAGAGCGCCTTTGGCTAGATGTCTCTTTCTGTGGCTTTCTAAACCTGTTCATTTTTGCCACAATGGCTCTGATCTACGTCTTCCTCCCTTTGAAGCAATCTCAGATGGGATAGACCCTAGCCAAAAAGTTCCGATCCAAAATCGTCGAGCCTAAGATGCCCGCTTCAATGTTGAGCGACGCCCCTGCCCACGGCACTAGGGGAGCTATCAGCGGTACCCGGGCACAAAAGCAATTGGCTCGCGAGCAGAGGGCGGCCGCGGCCGACGAGCAGATTAACATGACATGGTCGGACTTGGGACTACATGGCGTTCGGTCACATGCCCTTTGACCTGGAGAGCCAGACGGTTCCCGCCAAATTGGAGACTTTGAAAGAAAGGTCGCCGCCCGAGGATCTCTCGGGATTTTATCCAGCTCTTGTGTACTTGTTGGATCGACACAAGACATTGACGATTTCCAATTAGACGTGAAGGATGAATATGGAGCACTTCAATTGGTTTCTCTGAAGATTAACTTATAATCGGACAGTGACGGTTCCGTGGATTGTTTCCTTTGTGGGCAAATTTCTACGTGGCCGTCCTGGCCGTACCGAGCAAAGTAAAGGACGGTTCAATGTTGGACAAGAGTCACTGCCTCTTGGGAGCGTATATTCCTATATTTACAGCTTTGGAATGTTCAGATGAACGAGGTCATGGCTAGTGAAGATCAGTTGGTTGAGCATCTGTACGTATCTATGGGAGTAAAGAAAAGGTATAATTTGTAGTGGAGCATACAGCTCGAAATGAAGGCTCTTATTTCAACATGCCCTTCCAGACACTACTGTCAAAAGTCCGTTCAAGGTGAGCTTTGCCGAGCCCCAAGGCGGTAGCGAGTCTGTGAGGTCCAGGTCGGTAGACGCGTCACTGCACATCCAGACACCACTGTCAAAGGTCCGTTCAAGGTGAGCTTTGATGCGCCCCGAGGCAGCCTAGGAAGCCTGTTGTGGTGATGCTGAGACGCAGAGTCCTCACTGAAAGCCCAGTCCCGGTGTCATTTCAAATGCTCCAACCCATTGGTCGTCGATGCATTGCATTTCGTCCAGGTAGATCAAGGTCTGAGGGCAAAGTAGTTCAGTATGATCCGAACACGAATTTTTCGAAATCTCTTGATGGTGTTACTGATACAATGGTTGTATGGCTTGTTGACTGGCACTCGTCTTCGCGATGCGCCGTTGGTATGTCGGTGCTGGCGCTGGATGGGTATGCTTGATGGTGTTGAAGGAAAAGTTCAAACAACGGTCCCAAATCAAGAACACCTTTTAGTGCCTAGTATGCAGGGAATTCTTTGGTTCAACTTGACCGAGCTGGCCTCCTAGGCATGGCAGTTTATCGGGTGGCGTTGAAAAGCTTGAATGCAAACGCCCGAATTTGTTTTTGCAACCAGTGTCAAGGCATCCACCCAGTCAACTTTCACTCGACGCATTCTGCAAACTTTTCCCACGTTTACATCTCTTTCTACTTGTTACACACACACACACACACACACACATCCCATCACCATCCCATCATCGCAACAACAACGGTCAACACATTGAAATGTCTGACCAAAGCACCAACAAAGCCGTCGTTCCGCAAAAGGATCCCGCCGTCAAGAACCTGGACGAGAGCCCCGATCAAAGAGTGGGCAGGTTTAACAGCCGACAAGAAGCTAGGAAGCGCCGGTTCAGCGAACGCGCCGAGGAGGCCCATGGAGAGCCTGGCTCAGCCAATGGCTCTCTCGAGCTCGCCAAGGTTCCGCGCATGGAGAACAAATCGTTTTCGCAAATCTCCAAGCTGATACACCGTACTGGAGAGCATGCTCGCAACGTCTTTGACCTGAACCTTGCAGGAAATATGGGCTTCATGGCGTCGATGAATCGCAAACCCCTCACCAAGGAGGAAATAAGGGCCCGCTCGAATGCGAAGCGACTTGGGACGGACGAAATCTTTGCTGCCGTGGGCAATGGCAATGCGGCTCTGCCCGCTATTGAGGCTGCTCCTCAGCCCGTTGCTGGTGAGCAAGCAGCTCGCCAGAATTCTGGCAATGACCAGAATGGTATTCAGGCTGGTCGTCAGGCTGGCAACTCTTTTGGCCACAGTTTCGGTCGTGGTCGTGGTCTTGTTCGTGGCCGTGGTCTTGTTCGTGGCCGTGGTCTTGTTCGTGGCCGTGGTCTTGTTCGTGGCCGTGGTCTTGTTCGTGGTCGTGGTCGTGTTCGTGGTAACGGTGGTGATGGCGAGTTTGAACGCGGTTTCACGAGCGGTTTTGCCCGTGGTTACGATCAGGGCTTTGCCCGCGGCCTTGCCTTTGGCTCTTCAAACAATCAGTCCGGAAATGGCTCAGCCTCGGTCAATGTCTCGCACGAGTCGCACGGCGACAGCAGAAGCCACCAAGATGAACCCGAGGCCGAAAAGGAGGATGCCGAGAAGAAGAAGCAGGCCGACAGAGAGGCTCAGATGGGAGGATTTATCAAGATATTCGATTAATCATGCTCTGACTTGGTCAAAGAAAACGGTCGGATGACTTGACCATGCTTGTATAATGAAGCTAGATTGAATCTGATTTACCATGGCATCAATGCAATACCTCCCTACTGAACAGTGAATTTCATGATCCAGATTTCTGCCAATCCACGATCCAGTTGCACGTAACCCAGGCATGAAAAGTCCAAAACAAAGCAACGATTCATTGACCTCGAGAATGTATTAAAAGTCCATAATGAATTTCTGTATTCACGTAAAACAGTCTTGTTGCTTTGCCTGGTGTCTTGGATTCGACAGTGCTTTGTACAGATTTGAATGCACATGGATACTGTCGACCACCACTGTTTACAATACAATCCCAACGCACTCATTTTCCCGACCTCAAGGCGTGTAGTGGTCAAGGTCTCTGGGGATTCATCACGTTACAAATATCTTCAATCTCGACTCTAATTTAGCACACAATTACAGCAAGACCGCAGCATCTACTGCACTTTGTCGAGCCAGTGGACAGGATTTGGCCTGCTGTCGAGCTGGCATGGATTCGACAGTGCTTTGTACAGAGGTTGTAGTTTACTGCCCAAGTGAATCTGCCAGTATGATGTGTCCGTGTTCCAGTTTCGACAGCGCAGACCCTTGAGCATCTTAGCCCATGAGTCTCTACACTTATGGCGCAGCGTCAACTCCGATGCGAGGCCATCATGATCGACACTCGCTTGAATGCTCAACTTGCGCAAACATGACTCGCGGATCTTGCATCTGACATCAAGTCCATGGCAACCTCGGGTTTTGGCACGGACCTTTTACTGAAAGCTGGCAGAGGGCACAATATTCTGTCCGGTAAAAGTACTGTTCCCAGTCGGGCGTCCACCAATACTCCGTGACACATCTATCGGCTTCAAGTGTGAATATTCTAGTTGAAAGTGATCAAGTCTTGCATCTCAAGGAGGGCCATACAAGAGCATATCAATCAAGTCCACGAGGGAATGTGGTAGGTCGCGTGGTTCAAGTGTACAGAGCGGCATGCAGTGTCCATCAGCTCACGATCATGATGCGCGGGCTGACGGAGGCGACATGGACCCATGGTCACAAATGCATGCTCCTACAATAGCGCATTGGAAGAATAATGCCTCCTGGGCATCTGCCAGACATTTACCAAGACATGAAATGAAAAAAGCACTGCAAAAGTGCATATAGATTCTCTAGTACGTGATTTTGGTGGGCGCCACGGTTCAACAGTACGCGTGTACTGGCTAGTCGTGAGCACTGCAGAATTCTTGTACTGAAGCGGCAGTACAAGATTTTGGTAGGGGCCACGGTCCAGCAGTACGCATGTACTAGCTAAGCGGGACTACCATATAAAATTTTGTACTAAAGCGGCAGTACAAGATTTTGGTGGGGTTCACGGTTCAGCAGTACACGTGTACTGGCTAAGCGGGACCACCATACAATTTGACGTACTCTTGCTTTAGTACAAGATTTTGGTGGGCTATACGGTTCAACAGTACGTGTGTACTGGCTAGTCGTCAGCACTGCAGAATTCTTGTACTAAAGAATCTATATGCCAATTTCAAGAGAAATTACAAGGGTTCTATACCCACTGACCTCCATAGGCTTCAGCCATGCTCTACAACCACTGTTGAATGCAGACACTGTCCCGTCGTCGCCATCATCGCTGTACGGCTCTGTATCTGAACAGAGACGTCCAGGAAAAGTTTGGTTGCAAACCTCCTGGTCCGGGAAACTCACGATGGTGACAAGAATCATGCTCAAGGATCGCCATCTAGTGACACTTGGCTGGATGGGATGTAGCACGTCTTTCCAGCGCCACGTCTGACATGCCTTGACTTGTTTTCATGTCTGAATGAGCACTAGGGATGCGACGTACTCTGTTTGCAGCATTGTATAGTTTCCATCATGTCCTAGTCGTCCGGTGACTTGGCTTCTTGTCCAGTATCCATTCGCACAATCAGTGCTGCGCCTTTATTGCTCCGAGGTCATGGAAATGAACGAGTGGCAGAGAACCGAGGCATCTACAGCATCGGTCTGAATGTCTTCTGGGACGCAGCAGAGTTGATATCAACGTGACCATCTACCAAAGTGACCATCCACCAAACTGAACATCTACTAGACGAACATCCTCCAACCCGATCAGTTGACAGCAAGACAATCACCTATCTTGGTCTGTAGACTTCAAATGTCCGCATCTCAGGTCCGTAGCCAGTGCCATGCTGCCAGATACCAGACCTATGGATCGACTACCATGGCAAGGCTTGGAGACTATTCGGTACGCAGCACATATCATTTGTGAGGCATTGTCAGCTCCAACTGCCCTTTGCATCTGGTGAGCCAGCTTGGAAAGCTTTCACAGGCTCTCTCAATCCATTCTTGTTTGCTCGGGTGACTATAGTATACCATGCATGTCGGGTCTTGGTGTTTGACTAGACAATCTGCCACAAGGACAACTGAATCAGGGCGTAGCCACTGACCAGCTTATCGCGGATTCAAATGTGCATCAGATATTGTCATCACGGTGATGCGCCACGTGGGGTCATGGCAACCATTTGTGTATGCACGACCGCTTTACATGCTCGTGTACAAGGAAATCAAAGATTGGGACTCGCCAAAGTAGAAAATCCTAGGAGGACCTCGATGAATCGGCCAAATGCCAAGGCATGAGGATCGTTCTCGGATACTGCGCCATCAAACCAATACCGCGATCGGTGCATGCATCTTGGAAGAGCGGGTATCCGACTATTCATACGGTGAAGGATAGGTCCCAGGATTCGAGAATCATGACTCCAGTGTTCCAGCCATGCCGGATCACCGACGGTCCAAGGGATTGAAAACATGGAGCGTCTACGACGATGAGCTGAATACATTCCCGTGAAGCATTTGTTTGATCTGTGGCTTGCCAAGTCTGTATAATCAACTTTAAAATGAGACTCGAGGACCAAACATGCCTTAGGCCTCGGGTTCACACTGATATCAGCAGGTCTGGACCCGATGCACAATGTATAGTGGGCGAATGGGACCGTGGCATGCTCATGTGCAAGGTAGTATTGCGCCGGGACACTCCTGGTGATGGCGACGTGAATACAAATGGAAAAATTCCTTGATTTCATAGTACACATTCTTTAGTACATGATTTTGTATGGTGCATCGCTTCGCCAGTACATGTGTACTGTTGAACCGTAGATGCACCTAATTTTTTGTACTCTTGCGACAGTACGTGATTTTATATGGTAAATCACCTTGCCAGTACACGTGTACTCTTGAGTCGTGGGTGCACCTAAAATTACGTACTCTTCCTTTAGTACAAAATTTTATATGGTATGCCGCTTAGCCAGTACACACGTACTCTTGAACCGTAGCCCCCACCAAAATCACGTACTCTTGCTTTAGTACAAAGTTTTGGTGGGCCATACGGTTCAACAGTACGTACGTACTGGCGAAGCGGTATACCATATAAATTCACGTACTGACGGATTTGTATGTAGTATTTCTGCAATATTTCATCAGGCAATGATACCATCACTGTTCTTGTGGCCCGTGATTCATTCCTGATTGATTCTCCCCGTCCAAGCCTGATCAACGTGTTGACCGCCATACTGGATCATCGCTGGGAGTCTAGTCATGTCCGCTGCCCATCCAGTCAATCCTACTATTACGGTCATGCAAAAGTCTACTACATTTCAATGAACACGGCCGAGAGCTGGTCAGTGCTAGTTGGTCGAGTATTAGTCGGCTAGAGTGCGAATATCATCTACATGGCATGAGGTGTTGGTGTAGGCATTCTGTATCAGCTGGAGCAAGCATTCAAAGCGATTCAATCACATGCATGAGGTTTCTTCGGGCTGGACCGTCTTGAAATGCGTGGCCACATTGTGGCGGTTGCACTGTTCATCAAGAGGTAGCGTATCAGTCACATTCAACTCGAGATCAAGGAGGCAAGAGGACAGTGGTCACGAATGTATTAATATTTGTCGTCCTGACATATGCAGACCCAACGCAGATCACTTGCGTAGGTATCTAGCTCTTCAGCTCCTGTGTAGACTATCAACCAGACATCTTTCAATGCTTCCTCACAAGTCTCGCCTCAAGACAAATCTCGATGCAATCCTCAACTCTACTGGCTCTCTGCCTCCTTGCTGGCATTCCTGACCGCACTCGACATGCGGTCAAAGTTTGCTTTCAAGCTTCGATCCCGAATGGTCTGCTCTGGCAGTTCTCCAGCTGCCAATGGGCGTCGGTGCGTTTCTGGTAGCATGCAATAGTAAAGCACATATGTCCCATTGCCGGAGCCAATCTTCCATTGCTGGCTGGAAAAAGACGACTCTTCCGGATCAAGCAAAGGCTTGCCCGAGATATGCCATCGTCGAATAAAGTCTCGATCCTTGGGTGTATTCGGATCCCTTGCTCGCACAGCAGCAATCAGCCGGTAATTGATTCGGACCCAATTGTCCCTGGGATCGTCCATTCCCTTGTCCCAAGTTGGAATCAAGGACCCGTCCTCGTGTACCAACTTGTTCTCGACGCAAATCTCGGCAAGGTCCTTGTATGTCTTGGTGTTGTTGACATTGGTGTATTGCACGCGGATGAATGTAGGCTGATCAAACGTGTAGTAGTAGTTGTTGCCTCGGTCGTCGTTCTGAATACCAAACATTTCGTTGCTAATGAATTCTCCCAAGTCACCATGGCCATCCCACGTGACTAGGCTTGATGCGGCATTATCCTTTGGATGGAATCGCGTTGGCTTCCACTCATGACCATCTGCCCGCGCCTTGCACGGGACAATGGGATGGTAAAGGAGGAATGGAGGCTTGGAAAACATGGTCTCTACCATGATTCGGCTCTCTGCCAGATCCTCAAACGCCAGGCTTGGGTGCACACGATGCTCCTTTCTCAACCAGCGCATAATATCTTCGCGCACATCGTCTTGCCTCTTGGCAGTTTCTCGATCCTTGTCAAACATGCACCATGCCAGGCGCAACAACGGGTTCTCCTCTTCGTCCTCGGCAACCTTTTCTCGGTCTTCAGCAACCATGTGCCGATACAGGTGGCGGATAAGGACGACCATGACATCCAGGCCATTCATGCCCAGGTGCTGGGGTCGATGATCGTAGTATGGGATGGGAAACTGCATCCCGAGAGCGGCGGCTTGCAATCCTTCGTCCTTGTACAGATTGCGAATGTCTCTGAGCCCATCAAAATTGGCCAGAGACTCTCTCGAGTTTGCGCCGGGGCTTCTAGGATCCATGATGGTGATCTTGGCGGTTGATGAAGTCGAAATGATGGGGAAATGATGCGTGTGGTTTGAATCGTGGTCAATGCTGCAAAATTCAGGTGTTGTTGGGACAAAGATGCTTCTGACCTGAGCCGGTTTGTCGTGTCAGATCTTGGGCTTGCTGGAGTGACCGAGGTGCAAAACAAAATGCCCTACAGCCAGGTAATCTGGGGGCAAGCTGGCACCTAGAGTTTCTGATTCCCATTAATCTACAGTGGCTGTTGGGGAATTTCCCGGCTTTCCCTTGCAATCTGCACTAGGTAACGGCTCTTTTATTGAAATTTCATTTCATTGCTCTCTTTATACCAGAGTGTTCAACGACATGACAGATTTTGTACTCACAAATTTTGCTTGTTGCATGAGTCCTTGATGTTGTCACTTTACATGTAATCACGACAATGAGGCATTCATTTCAATTAATAGTCATATCTAGAACAACGCATTCCAGCCTCAAATACCAGTAACAGACCATTGGCACCCAATCCTCGTTGTGAATGCCTTGCAGGGCATTGTGCATGTCACCCTCGCTGCTTGTGGCAGCAGCTTCTCGCCAGATTGCGCGTGGCGGAAGCAATTTTCAAACCCAAATCAAAAAACGACCAAACGACCAGTCCAGAAGACAAAACCAAAGCAAATCAGAGTAAACATCCGAGACATTTACTGCTCATAGTCGAGGCTGCCATCGTCGGGCCTTCTCGAATCCGTGGGCGTGTCGAGGCCTGCTGCCTGACGCCAGTCATCCATGTCCGCGTCCAGGTCCTCCTTGGAGACCACTGGCTTTGCCCAGCGGCTCTGGGACTGGGGAACAGCCGGGAGTTGACGCTTGGCGCCCATATTGGCGGGCCGGGAATTGGACCTGCCACCAGATCTCTGGCCACTGCCAGAGTTCTGGCGACCCGTCTGCCCATGGCCATTGCCATGGGCAGGACGCTGAGCAACGGGCTCAGGAGCTCTTTGAGAGCCTTGTTCCTCGGCCTGCAGCAGCCGAGCCCGTCTCTCACGCAAGACCTCCTCCGCGGAAGGACCACCCTGCTCCAGGAGCTTCTCTCGCTGTCGCCTGTCGTATTTGGTGATGACACGAGTGTAGGTCATCATTGGCTGAAATACGCCATTGTGCATGGCTTTGTTGCGCTCAATAGCGCCGGCAACTTGTTTGACGACATTTTCGCCAGTGCTAGCACTGGCTTCCATGGCAAGGGGGCCGTGGGTCTCCCAGTCCATGGCCATGGGATCATGCTTGAGGAACATGGCCCGGGGTTGTCCTCCACGCGTGATCCTTACAACGTCCGAATGGTTCACGGCCTCGATCCGTGGACGCTTTGCAATCTCTCGGGATGCGGCCGGGCCGTCATCCCTGACGATTTCTTCGACGTCGTCGTCGTCGTCCTCCAGGTCCTGCTGGCGTCGCTTTCTAACGATGCCACGGTCCTTCATAAACTTTTCATTACGACCAGAAATCTCGTCCAGACTCTGGTCCAGCTTGCTCTTCTCCACGGGCGGCTGCATGCCAAAGCTCTTGTACGGCAAAGGCATCGTGCTGTTGCTGTTGTTGCTGTTGCTGTCGCTATTGTTGCTGTTGCTGTTGCTGTCGCTGTTGCTGTTGCTGTTGCTGTTGCTGTGATGATGGTGATGGTGATGGTGGTTGGAAACAGAAGAAGAACTTGATGATGATGTTTTTGATTGAATGTAAAATTGCAAATTTGTGTTCCTCGAGTGTTGTTCCCGGCTTCAAAGGGCGTTTGCAAGGAGTTTCAAGCTAGCCGAGTAAGTGGTGGGTCCACTCATTCAATTTACAATGGCTGCGCACAACTTGGAGGGCTCAAATTCCGGGAACAGACGGGAATCAGTGGAAATGAGTGACAGTGTCTACTGGGAATTACTTGAAATACCGTATCAAAGTTCTATCATTTCCATTTCTCGTCTTTAACCGGTCGTTTATACTGTGTGACGTGTAAACACCAAAGCCATGATCCTGCAACAAGAATCAAAGCTTTAGCAAAGAGTCAAGGCTACAGCTCAGTCACAGGCATGGCGGCCCATGGCGGGGCAAGATCATCAGTTTCTAGTTAGTCCTTGGACAAGTACTCCAGGTCTGTTGCAGCAGTTTGACACTACAATGCCCAACGTTGATACACAGTATCACGATAATCTAGTGCAGATGCAGAGAAGGACATGTAGACGTAGTCAACCTAGAAAAGGTTCAAAACTCGGGCCACCTATGACGAGTGATAATACGAATATCGGAACTTCTGCCGGTACAAACATTGTCTTGCACCAGGTGTTCTCGTCGACCATTTCTTTTCAACTGATTTCTATTTGATTGCCTTGTTCGAAACAATGGCCAGCTGCGGACAATGAACCTGGGACAAGTCTGTGTGCTTCAAGCATTTAGAATTGGAAATCTTGAGTGTACCATCCATGGCTACCAAGATTAGATTTCCATGGGCCTCATTTTGTTGGTGGATTCCATGAATACAGACTTTTTGAGCTATTTGACTCGACATGAGGAAAACGGTTTGTGAATGTCATCACGGATCTCGGAAACCTACTCTCCTGATCCAAGGACGAGTAGATTTCATCCGACATGCGCATGTAATTCTCTACCAGAGACATATCCTTTCAACTATTTCTCCTTTAGTAATGCCGCTTCCACCATGCCTGCTAGATGTCGGAGAATCAGTAGGACGTCTCGGTTTATCAGATCTGGTGTCAATTTATGGCTACTGTTTTGATTTTGCTGCACCCCCTTATCCAAATCAGTCCATTCCAGGTCAAACTCTCCCGAAGACTTGATTTTCTTGGCGTGGTCAAGAATACAGGCAATGTCGGCGTGATACAGCTTTTCCTGGTTCAGGCAAGGTTTTCAGAGGCATGAGGGATACGGTGGAGATGTACGTGAGCAAGCCAGCCATGAATCAAAGTATCCAGACTGGGAATCATTTTCCTGTCGAGCTCGCTTTGGAATTATAATGTAGTGTCACGATGATTGAAGCATTGTAATAGTGATATTGCAAAGTCAAGTTGAGCTGCATGCTTTAGAGAGATTAGTAACATCCTTGGTACCCTAGAAAAGCACGTAGTAGCTGCATAGAATATGCCCTTGGCTTTGTATTAAGAGCACTGCTAGGCGCAGGGCCTAGATTACACAGCCAAATGGCACATGTATTTGCCTACAAATCTCTGGGACGATTAGGATCCTTCTCTAGTCCTTTCTTGATTCCCGTCGTTGCCTTGTTCATTCCCCCCTTTAGCTAGTTGATTCCCATTCATTCCCGGCGCTCCCGGAATCACGTCTTTAATCCCGGGCCTTGCACCCGTCCTCCTTGGCTCGTTTCAGTGCAGAGGGTACGATGTGGCAATGGCTTTTGGCCACTCAGTGCCGTGAGTCTGCCCGAAAATCTGAAATACATGCTGAGGAATGTAAATGAGGTTCTTGGCGTTGAGAACACGCCTCCCTGAAGGAACCTTTGAAACTTGAACCAAGTCTAGATAAATCGCAAAGATTGCGCCCAAATCCCTGTTCACGGGGTTCCGTGTCAACTTCCCGATATCGAGAAGCTCATCGTCGTCATATTCCAATGGTTGATTCGAGGCAGCATCGTACACTGCATCAGTCTTGGTCGCGATACACATGACACGACTTGCGTAGCAGAGCACGAGCTGCTCTTCTACCTTGACGACTTCTGAAGCCGACAGCATGGTCATGTGCACCTCCTCGGCAGTGTCAATACGGTCAATGTTGACGAGAGCTTCAAATTCGTGCACATGGGCATGCACGTCACGCACGAAATCAAGGCGCAGTGAGAATTCCGTGCCACAGAACATGTATGGCTCTTCTCTGACGGCTTCGCCCGTCTCCATTGCCTTGAGATACAACCCAAGAATAATCCAAACAGGACCCTTGCCGGCTTGATCGAGACCAACACCCTCACAATGCTGCTGGATTCCTTCTAGGATCCTATGCGTCGGTACGTTTTCCCGCAGACATGAGTAAGCCGAGCCAACACCACACATGATGATGAATGCCAAACGAATCATGACTCGCCTGACATTGGTTGGCAAATTCTTGTTCCTTGTCCTGGCAAGCAGCATTGCCGTATGAATGTCAAGATCATGATGCGCATACTTGGATCGTAGTTCCAGCGCAAACCTTCCCTTGCTCGTGACAGGATAGTACCCAGAACCACTGTCCTGGATACATTTCATGACCACTAGACGTCTCATGACCTCGTGTACGGCAAAGCAATCGGGTATGGTCCGTATCTTCATATCAAACACCTTGCTGTTGAGAGAGCATAGTGTCAGCATGGTCCACATGATATCCTCGTTGAATGCTGGGCTCCAGGGATCGTCCAGTGCTCGGGACTTTTTGATATGCGACTCTGATGATAGACAGTAAAATTCAGTCTGGTCTGTATTTCCTGCCTTGATTAACCACGACTTTTGGCGGTCGAAATCAGTCATTGAAATGAGCTTGGTCATGGTCACAATCTGACTTGATCGCGTGTCCCACAACTTCAACTCATGAGTCCCAGATGATACCACCACGCCCACATTTGGCATGGGAAATGAGGGTGCTGCGCAAGTGGTGGCAATGGCATCATAGTTTCCATCCACAATGTCTTGAGGTGAATCCTTGGTTGGATTCAACTCATGCTGCTTCCCCATTGCAAACTCGGACGGGCGCGGCACACTCAAGATCACCACGGATGATTCTGGCTGGTCTCGCTGCCGGGCAGCGATCTGCTTCTTGACATCATCCACTCCCATGAGGATCATTTTGACCTCTGGGTTGATGTCTGGGACTTGAACAATGGCCAAGTCATCTTGAAAGACATTTCGCAAAAGGTCTATTGTGCGCCTTGAGAATTGCGCTGCGAGAAACATGCAGCTCATGCCATTTCCAGAGTCCTTTGTAACCTGCTCCATGAGCAGGGTGAAAAAGACCTCTGCATGTACCGAAGGTCGAAGCGGCACATCGGACAAGACAACAATCGGACAATGCTCGTCCGGCACCCATTGGCGCCGCACGGAGTTGTCAATGTATTGCTCATAGGTGCAAATTGTCAAGACCATCTCTGGATCAAAGTCTCCAACACAGGCTCCTCCATAGTCTTCCATCGCATGGCGCTCAAGGTAGTTGATGATGATGGGCATCTCAAAGCCCGAGTCAATGACGTATACGATCCTCGCGTTGGGATTGGCCTTGATGATGGCGGACATGGCGTACAACAAGAGGCTTGTACTCTTTCCGGCTCCATGCGCAGCCTGAATGTAGGCTGCGTAGGGTCTTGTCGGGAGCTTGTGGAGAGCGCTGTCAATCTCGTCGATATTCGCTCTCCAGGCTTCGTCTGGGGACAAGGCGCGTCCTGGCGTCTGATTTTCGGCCATTTTGGTGTTGCAATAGTGGTGGTTTGATGGAAATGAATGGTAAAGGTGATGGGAATGAAGATTGAAAAGTTTTTGTTGTGGTGGTCAAGTTGTCGGGATTGCAGAGGTGCCTCGATATCGAGGTGTTTTGAATGTTGATTCCCAGACGTTCCCGACCTTTGAAAGCAGCACCCGCTGTATTATTGAAAAGCTCCCTGTAACTCCCGTAGCCATAGCGGCCTGTCTCAAATTACGTGGTGGCCACGACTCTATACTCCAGGACCGGGTCTTTACTCAATACTTTACGATTCAACTATTCGGATGGCCAGTATGGAAATCAACATGTGCATTTGGATACATATCTGGAATAACCTGGAATATACAACATGCTCAAGCAAAATCAAGATGGTATTACTCAGCGGACTATGTATTGCAATCCTCAAGTGGACATCTACCTGAAAGCCAAATCTACCAATGCAGACTTGCCATCCAAACTCAACTCGTCCTTGGCTTCTTCCTCATCCATACCCCTCAAAAAGTCCTTGCGACTCTCTAGGAAATCGAGGTGCATTTCAAGTCCACCCGGTGGCCCAGGATAAAACCTGCTCTTCCTGCTTCCAAGCTTGAAATTCATATCCATTGGTCCACTCGATAGTCGAAAGTTTCGAAGTCTTGTTGGACGTGGACAGAATGGGACGTTTTCATCCACGATGCCCTCTCTATCTGCTACATGGCCACTATCCGCGGGCTCCAAACTTGAAGAACTCTTTCCAGCAGCTGGGCGGGGTGGTGCTGGCTCATCAATCAATGGCCTATCATCCAGATTAGCATCTTCTTGGCCACCATCTTTAGATGCTGGATCATTTTCAGGTTCAGGACTGTCGTCAGCGAAATCGTCTCCACTGAATTCGAATCCTCCTTCATGACTACCGGTAGCCATATCGACGTCATCATCTACAGAATCACCCCCAGGGTGATCTGAAAACTGCCTGTCGAGAGATGACTCTCGTCCTGGCGCAGAACGTGGACCCCCAGCCAAACCGCCGTCCGACACATTATCGGACGGGGTTGGCCGGGAAAGTTCATTCACCTCCTTGGATCTCCAATACGAAACAAGGCTCTTCATGTACATATCCATGACATGCTCGAATTCGTCTGGATATTCAACCGTGGATCCTCGGGAAGTCGATATGACCTTGGAAGCATCTCGCAGAGAAGGCCAAAGCTGGTGCGCCCCGGACGTGACCGAGCGGACCACCTTGACCAAGTCGCGGAGATCCCCAGTCTTGACACGATATGGGCCAACTGCAATCGCATCTTGTTCAGCTTTGTAAAACTTTTTCTCGACTTGCCGCAGCAGCGACGAGTAAGCCGGGAGGCACAGTCCTTGCGCAACCATTTCCCTCCGCACCTCCTTGTGCAGTTTTGGAATGGACTTGGTGCCATTCGTGTTCTCAAGCTTGGACTGTAGAGAGTCCATGAAGCGACAGGTCGTGAAATGCTGCCACGACATTTGTCGGCGATCGTCGACCTGGCACGCCTTGGCATACTTGATGACGCATGTCAGGAGCCTCGTGTTGCCCATCCACGGTCCACCAATCGCGAGGACCACCAGCTCATCGCAAAATCGTTTACTCCAGATGGGATCGGGAAATGGCTTTCCAATCTGTTTTCCCTTCTTATCCTTGAGGTAAACCTCAGTTCCGGCGCCATATTCGAGGTTTTCATACGGCGAAATAATATCGGTAGGAAAAACCTTGAGAACCCTGCAAATCTTTTTCCACATTGCCATGAATGCGGATATAGACTTGAGGTTTGGCTTGAGTTTCTTGATGTACTTGATTTGGGCTTCTTTCTTGGCCCTTTTCTGGAGATTGTCTTCCATCTCCTTTGTCCAGCCTCGGCCAGAGTACTCTGTGTCCAAGGAAGTCCACATCCTCAACTCCTGTAGGTCGAGCACAGGATAATTCTCCTTCATCAACTTTTTCGTCTTCCGGGCCGTTCGAGCCAATCTCGACGGCTGATCCATGGCAATCTTCTTGAGCTCCTCGCGCGAAAGAGCCTTGAAGCCATTGACCAACTCTTGATCGTATTGAATGTCTGATAGTTTGATCTCTTGCCGGACTCTCCTCTTGTCCTCAAAATCGCTCCCACTGTCGATTTCCGGCAGCACAGGCTCTTCATCAGAGTCGTCTGCGTCGTCTGCGTCGTCTGCATCCACGTCCATTTCGTCGTTGCTGTCGTCGCTGTCGTCGCTGTCGTCGCTGTCATCCGAGGACTCGAAACCGTCATCACTCCCGAGGAATGATTCTTCGTCGTCGTCCTGGACAGCTCGCGTCTTTTGCGCTTTGCGTGCCTTTGGCTGCACGCCCTTGTCGTTGGATCGCGCCCGTTTGCGCGGGGCGGCTTTCGATTGAGATCTCGTATTCGGCATCTTGTCGTCTAGTATCGTGAAATACAATTTTATGATTGCAAAAGTGTAGTTGAAGAAACTGGTGCGTACTGTGGTTGATATTTGAAAGTGGAACGGTCAAGTCGTTTGGTCAGATTGGGACATGAAACGCTAGGCATTTGAGCACATCTATCCATGACATGACAAAGAACAAGTTGCAAAACCATTTCAGTTTATTTATCAAGGACATTTCTATACAGTCATTCTCAGTATTCCAGTCTATAGTTTTCCTTTGCGATAGTTGTAAGCTTTTAGATGGAGACAAACTAGCCAAGATATAAATGACAAACCACAGGCAGAGCTTCTAGGTAATTTTCATTGGGATTGAATGGGAATCAGTAGAAATTGGTGGGATTACGGGAATCAAGGCCTGCCAGATGGGGCTGTACGGTCAGGATTCCTTCTCAATGGGCGGCTTGTTAGGAATTGATTGTCCAGCAAGCTGGCTTTTGAACAATAAATGTTTCATTGGCAGCTTGGATCCAGCTGTCGTCACCCTACAGAGTGCATGCAAACTTCAAACGTATAAACTTGGGATTTTCCCGGCTTGCACCTAAAAGTAAACCCCCACCTTCAACCACACTCGATACTTTCAGTACCACAAGCACACTACATCACCATCAACCATCAACCAACACCAGCACCAGCACCACCATCATCACATCATCTTCATCATCATCATCATCAAGAAGACGATAACCATGGCTCCAGGATATCCCTTGGTCGCCGAGGAGACGCCAGTGTCTGATCTGTCAGCCTGGCGTCGAGATCGCATCATCAACCAGCTCCAGGAGCTGGTTGGTGTCCCTGGCGAGGTTGTTCTCGCGTACTTTAAGGGGGCCCCCGGCCATGTCGCTGACATGTTTGTTGAAGCTGGCGAAGAGTCGACCCTCTCGGCCGACTATTTTGATTGGGCCGTCGACAGATTCGTTTGGGGGGGTTTTGGTAAGTTGTCCTCGCATCAGTCTTTGTCACTTGCTAACCTGTATCATAGGACTAAAGTTTGGCAACGTTCCCGAGTTTCCGTACCCGGAGCCCGAAAAGTATGGTGAGCCATACCCCAAGGTTTACCTGATCCACTGGGTCAAGAACAACACCAAGAAGATCCTGGACCAGGAGAAGGAGCAGAATGCCATTGTCCGCCCAGGCGGAGTGGATGACTTTCTAGATGTTCGAATGCAGATCTGGCAAAAGGCATTCCCGGAAAGTCCCGTCGAGAAGCCATTCTGGCTCTCGATGCCAAGGGCCTCGTTTTGCAACCACGTTGCTCAAAACACCAAGGACCTTGAAGAGGTCATGGCCAAGATGGCCAAGATCTTGTCGGCCAAGGAGTTTGTGCTGATTGCGCGCGTGGGTGCAGAGGGCACCCTCACCCTGACCTTTGCAAAAGGTGTGGACACGGACGACAGTGGCGTCCGGTTACGGTTCATGCAGGCATGGTCTGATCTGTGCATGTGGCACAGAGATGTTCTTCAGGAAAAGGGCGTCAAGATTCACGATTTCTTTGACCGCCTGTACTTTAATTGTTTCATGGGGAACTTTGCCGACTTGCCGGCACTGAATGTCAGTGCATCCCAGCAAGCCGCCAGGGCCATCAGGTTGGCCAATGTTGGAGAGGCCAACAATGAGCTCCATGGTCCAGAGTTCATTGAGACGATTAACCGGTTTCAGGCATCCGGTGCTAGATCGTTGGCTCTCATGGAGAGCAAGCATGTCATGGAGCGACTCTCCGGGACTGTCCCGGAGCAGTTCAATCATGTCATGTGCTTTATCAACGACACTCGTTTCTCCTGCCTGTCAAAGCAGGAGCTTGCCACGTTTGTCTGGGGCCCAATCATTCAATATGCTCGCGAGTCGATTGGCTACCATCTCGAGCATGTATTTGTGGCCCCTGACAAGACTGGCATGACTCCCCAGCAGCAGCTGGAAGTGGCCTACGCGTTCCTCGGTCGCTTGGTCAAGGGTGAAGACGTGTTCCTGGAGCACGACCTCGCCATTCTCTTGGACAATCACACTCGCCTAGAGTTGTGCGAGAAGGCCTTTATGGACAAGGGCCCATACGTCCGCTTGGGTCAGAGAACCCTCAAGGAATGTGTTCCCGACTTGAAGGAAACCACTACGGCCTGGGTCAAGAGCCTCCGGGAACAGCTGGGTTCCCAAGGTGAGAATCCCATTCCAGAGATGGAATCTCTGGCATTTAAGTAGACGTTCTGGAGGTTTATACTGGGTCATTGACCAGATGGGACATGGAGTGTCCAACTGCGCTTGATATGCATTATTGCCATGGTTTCACGGCTGGACTTTTGTACTTTTTGCAGATAAGCTGCTCGAGCATGAGAATAAATTGAGACTGTTCCTGACACGTAAATACGAAAAGACCATTGTGACGAAGTGGACTGAAAGGAGAACAAGCTCAAGTAATGAGTTATGAATCATACGTGCTGTAGTTGAAATGGTGAACATGCAGACTACAATAGTAAAGCAGCCATTCCGAGCCTCAAATCTCAAGACGTGAGCCGTTTTCATTGCATCAAGGTTTACTCACCATTACACTGCATCAATAGAATCATTAACGGGTATCGGGATATATTATAGTATGCATGAAAAGAATGTTAAGCACAAGTCTCTTTCCCAACCTTTCCGGGAATTTCCCATGTCATTCACCACGCTCGGCCATTTCACCAATAGGCATGCCACCTCTTGTCCCATTAAAATCATATAAGCCATTCCCTTTACCATTTGCAGTCCATTTATCCCATTTCCCGAGCGTTTCTCCCGATTCCTGCATCATTCGTTGCTCCAGGCCTCAGTAGAACATGCGACTCAGCATGCCTCGGGTAGGCTGTGCAACCTGTCTAACTGGGACGTATCCAGCTCGACGGAAAACATCGTCGACGGCAGCAATGGCTCGATCTCGGCCGGCGTCCATGACTGCAACTGCTCGATCCTGGCCAGCGGCGACAGCAGTGCGACCTATCGTGATACAATGCTCCCAAATAATGGGAATTTCCCGGACCAAGTGTGCAATGACTGCCTGAGGAAGTCCTGAGCGCGCAAGGGCCATGGCAACCATGGCACCCAGAGCAGCCTTCAAAACAGCAACCTTGTATTGACCGTAGGCGTCGTCTAACTCATGGACTGTGCGCGACAAATGGCCCAGTCCCCGTCGTAGGAGCTCCATGGTTCCGTTGAGGCCGAGTCCGTTACCACCGACCTGGTGCATCTGTCCCAGCTGTGCCTGGGGTTGGTTCATGTCCATGGCATTTGCCTGGACTTGTGCAGGTTGTTGCTGCAACTCCTGTACATCCATAATGGCATCCTGTAGGTTGTCAAGTAGTCGGTTGACAGGATTGCCTCTTCGGACCCAATGTCCAAAGTTGTCATAGTTCATGAGCTCCACTTCGATCCAAGGCTGCTCACAACCTTGGCGGTACGGCTGAACTGGTTGGACATCTCCGTTCCACTTGACGGGAGCGTCCCGGATTCCTGACTGACCAGGACGAACCGCCAGAAGGGGGTGGACCGGTGGTGCCCATGCCATCCACAAGAGTCCATTGTCCTCCATGACTCTTCGGAAGCGCTTGTGCCACCGGCCCAACCCCAGAACATACATGCCAACAACATCGTAAAATGTTGGCACACCTCCCGATTCCTGCCAACGTCGGTACGCTACCGACTTGGACATGGCCTTGCGCATATTGTGCGATGCAAGGCAGTGAGTCTTGAGATTTTCCACCATCTGCGGTGGGAGTGCGAGCTTGGCCGCCAGGATGTCGAGGATCACTTGGTAGATCCTGCGGTAATCACGAGCCTCGTCGGCCGTGTCGACACTTCGGTATCTCTCCGACAGCAGGTACTTTACTGGAACCCTGACGACCTGGCCGAACAGGTTCAGTTCGTACATGCTTGGATCCTCGCAATTGGACCGGACAGACTCGTCGGGAATCTGCTCCCACTGCGGGAATCCAATGCGCTCAGCTACGTAGTAGCCCGGGTTCAGGATTGGGCGACGTGCCAGACGCTCTTGTCGTACCAACAGTTCCAGCAGAGTGACGGACAGCCCGCTCACTTGCCGAACCTCGGGATGATGGTGCAGGTTCGTAACAGGGAGATCTGGTGAGCCATGGGCCAGCAGTCCCTCAAGCTGGGCAATGGCGAGCAGAAACTCAGGGCCAAGCGCCTGGTCAAAGTCTGCGCCGGCCATTTCGGTGCGAATGCAGTTGATCATGTGCGCCAACTGCGTCGAACGGAAATGGGCGTAGTCGTCCATTGTGAAAGTCTGGGAATCGACGGGAATGTCGAAGTAGTTGAGAGACGGGAATGATAATGGTGATGATGGTTGTGTACTTTGCTTGGGTAATTCCCTGGGATTTGGCAAACTGAAAGAAGAAGAGTTGGGAATAGTCGGGAATTTACCTTGTGGATTGGGGAAGAAGGAAAGAAAAGAGGAATCTAGAGTGGTGAAAGAGATTAATTACTTGCAGTGAAAGACTGGATACAAATGGAAAGAAGTGAATTACAGTAACAGCGTTGAAAACTGGTATAAATGGCAAGAAGTGAATTATAGTAGAGTTGGAAAGAGCAAAAGTTTGATAGAACAATCAGCCGTCTAGCTATACACGACGAGCATTACAAGGCAAGTACGTCTAATGAGAGCATTTATATACATGATTGGGCATGGGAAATGGCTTGAGGCTTACTCCAGACTTTTTACTATTCAATTAAACTGAACCAGTATCGTTTCCGAGCATCGTCTTTTCGAGTCGAAACTATTCAGACGTCAAGAACTTTTATATGCCGCTGTCAATATTGTTGATGAACCATGGAACTTTACAACAGTTGGCAAATCAAACTATAGCAAATGTCTAGACATGGAACATGTAGGAGTGCATTTCAAGATGGGAGTCGGGAATGACTTGACGCTGTCCATGGCACGTGTCAAGCCATGGGTCAGTTCCAAGTCTCTAATGATACATACGCAGCAAGCCTGGAACACTATACTGATGCAATGCGGGAGCAAAACTACGTCCGGCGTGTCTCTGGATATTACGGGCATTGTAGGTCGACCGGGTTGGCCACCGAGCGTGATCTGTAGCGCGTGGATCGCAGAGTCGTTCGCGGGGTTGGACAAGCAGTCTACTGCCTCATCAACAGTATCGGTGGCGGTATACAGCAATCTTTGATGGATTTTCATGTTTTGTAGTCGCAGAATGAGGCCATTGTCTACACTCTAGCTTGGGCTATTGAGTCGATGCTCCAGTACCATTTGCAACGACATGAATTATTGGGCGAGCTCTATTAACTACTCTTAATTCCATCAGGTAGATTGAGATCTAATGGTGGCTACTGTGAGACTATTGGTGCAAATGAATAAATCCATACGACGGCGTACAGCCAATACCCAGAACGGGCACCTAACAAACAACGCAATCTTGATATTCAGAATACTGGTCTTTATTTTTGCCCGAGGGTCGCTGGTTCAAGGGAATGGCTCCGTGGTGGTGCTACGATACATCCTATAGAGGTTCTGTTGTGTCAGACTGCCGAGGCCAGGAGCGCTAGAGCATCACTTTAGTGGGTGCCGTGGTGCTTTAGGTGATGCTTTAGCGGGTGCTTTAGTGGGCTCTGCAAGAAATCATCAAGTAGAGAGCACATCAGCATTGAGCAGCATTGAGCAGCTGTCTAGCTAAGAATGAATCGAAAGGGTCCCTATGCCTTTTCACCAAGATGCATTTGCAATAAATCATCGATTAAGGGTTCGCAGTGACAGCAAGGCCAAGTCCTCTGCCACTGTCGTCGATGGAGTTCCGAATACTAGTTTTGGGCTACGTCATTGCCACGTGGGTTCCAGATTCCCGGGACCAACGGTCTAGCTACCCGCTACAGCCCACCAACCGTTGACGTACTGCACCATTTTAGGTACCTAGGTACCTACTACGATTACGAGCATAATTGTCACGGCATACACCACTGTACGATATGAGCAAAGAGCATGCTAGCAATCCTTGGGAAACGATCACGAATGGGACCTATATGCCCACGGGAGAGGACAGCATTATCATGACAACTACCCCCTCATTGGTACAGCCCAAGCAGGAAGTAGAGGTAGCAGAAGCAACTCGTAGGAGAAAGAGGGGCAGTTCCAACCTTGGGATCGTAATTCTCGATGACACGAAAGATGCAATGCCAGCAGGCCTTTTCGGCCTCGGTTAGGAGGGTTCTCGAGCGCAAAGTCCGTTGTTCCACTTGCGCTTCTGGGCCTTGGGGGTGCGGAACAATGATCTGGGCCTCAGGTTTGCGCTTGAGAGGAGTAGCACGAACGCGACGGTTGGGAGTAGGAGGCATGATGACCACCAAGCAGAAGAATGTGGACGATGAGAGAGTGGATAGTTGTCATGGTAGATACTGTATGGCAGTCCCGTCCCGTGGACATGTAGGTCCCAGTCCGCAAGATGCAGCTTTTGTATCCGACCGCGCGCAATCGACCACGCAACACGGGCGAATGCCGCCCTTACCAAGTCATTATGCTGTAGATAAAGCATGCAAGTCCTTTGAGAATTGAAAATCTTAATAATTGCCACCGGGCAGAGCGTCTAGTCCATCCTCTACCGGCTGCGTGATCAGGCTCAATTGGGCTTCCCTCGTTTCGAGCGTCGATTTACCGTTGGTGTGATTCAATCTGATCCATTTTAAATTCAATTCTAGTATGTAAATTGTCGTGGTGTTGTCTCGTGTGTTTCAAGCCCATGCCACAACTCTTGGTGTAAATACCTAGTAATGGACAGCGTCCAAGCCTGGATTGTAAACAACTCTTTCTCGCCTTTCAGCTGTCGACTGAGTTCCGCGTGAGGGGTTAGGTCTACTCCTACTTTCGGCTGTTGTGTAGAGTACTAAAGGATAGCCGATACCAGGGGCATGCCGGGGACACGGATGGTGGTTCACACACTTGAATGATATGGGCTCTGCAGGTATACGAGAATAGCTGGCCAAATTGATTGGAAAACATCCAGATAATGAAGAAATTGAGACACCAATCACTCATGGCACCGGGAAACCTGGCATCATAGCAAGATGATGTGATACCAAGCAAAAATCAAATTCGAATCCCACTGTCATGTAAAGCGTGAGGCTGGAGTCGCCATATGGATAGAAACAGAGTGTGAGAAGCATGCATTACAGCCAACTATAGACAGTCAGTCCCTGATGGGACCAGGCTCTATACCTACTAAAAGTGAAGCAGTCTTTTTGGCTGCATAAAGCCAACCAGTGTACCAAGCACACCCGTGCTCGTGTAATGCCTTGAATCATTGTCATGGCTACGGTTAGAAAATGTGCATTACTCATATTAAAGTGTCTGCGAGCTTGGTCGAGCTGTGGATGGTTCCATGTCCTTATAGCCTCGCGCCGAGCGAAATTGTAAAAGTGCTTCAAGGGCTGCCTCCTTGATCCCAATGACGCTTCATAATTGTCAAAGAACGCAGCAAAGTCGTCTTCTTTAAGACTACATGCTCGAGCTCATCATGGCCCCTTTGAGCTTGCTTTCCTTTGGAAATTATCTTCCGACTCTTGCACAAGAATGTAAAGAGGGGCAAAAGCGACAATGTGCTTCACCATGGAGGTCAGCCACTCTGTGATGAGGTTGCAGAAGCAGGCGTCATGGACAAGTTCCCAAGGTCTCTGATCTTGAGCCTATACTCGTTTGCTGTCATGCGAGCAAACCTCCCGTCTGCATCAGATATCCATTTGAAGCTCATGGGCTCCAAGATCCGCCGCAATGCCACTATTTGTAGCTCAAGCTGCTTGAGCATCGCGGACTCTGCGAGTGTGCTCGTCTTGCCTCTCGGCCTCGGTCGCCTCGTTGGCGTTGAGGGGAGGCTGATCCAACCCGAATACGGCATCGAAAATTGCCCAAAACACCTCTGGGCAAGGGTTCGTTTCTCAAAGCCAGCTCGTACATGTACATTTTGCTGAATGGGATGCCATACTTGGCTGGCATCTCGAACAGGTATTCGGGGGCGTTTGGGTTGACTTGACTGTCAGCTGCATTGCCGTACGAATGGACGAGTCTAAACTCACGAACCCAGGGCCAAAAGCACATTCCAGTATGCCAACCGAAATAATCTGCCGAAACCGTCGGCAATTCCGACACATTTGCATATACCGTAGCAAGTCTGTTGGCAATGCTGCATACACGGCCTCGAGACTTTCTCGAGCCATGTCGTCTCGAGTCCAATAACGTCTCCAGTCAGACTCGTGCTCCCGGAGCCTTTCAAAGAGCTGGGCGGTGCCTAGTCTCATTCGGATGCAAGTCTGCAAAGACAAGGGGCTTGTATGATTGTTCCATGTCTGTTGTTATAGCTGTTGCTGTCGTAGTCGTTGGTACAGTTGTTTGCAATCGTCTCTGTTCCGGCGAAATGTGGCAGACTTTCAATTTCTTGCAAGTTGAAACTCAAGGTCCAAGCAATACACGTGTACTGTTGAATCGTAGATGCACCCAATTTCTTGTACTCTTGCGGCAGTACGTAATTTTGTATGGTATGCCGCTTAGCCAGTACATACGTACTGCTGAACCGTACGGCCCACTAAAATTTTGTACTCTTCCTTTAGTACAAGATTTTATATGGTGTGCCGCTTAGCCAGTACACACTGC